CATCGCCTCGGCCTGACCTCGGACTTTTACTGGAATCTGAAAAAGTAGAAATATCGTTAATGATAATGCGCCGAAAACGGGCAGGTAGTTGACGATTCCGTCGGGGATTCCTCCTAAATTCTAACTCCCCCTAGGCATCAGGCTCATGTTCTGTCTCTGATTTATCGTCCCTTTCCTCTGACCGGTCCTGTCCTAATACACTTTCCTGCTCAGAGACACTCCCTTGTGCTGTTACACTCTCCTGTTCTGGTTGTGGTGCACAACACGGCTTCAGTTGGTCAAAATGTACGACTTTAGTCCGACCACTTGGATGCATTCGGATTCGGAAGGTCACCTCCGTCAACTGGTCTATAAGCTGATAAGGGCCTTTCCACCGGCATTCTAATTTTGGTGACTGCCCCTTCCGCTTTGTGTGGTCAAACATCAAAACCCACAGGCCAACTTTCAATTCAGGATCTCGAGCCAATTTTTCATATCCTTGCTTTTGTCTGCGAGCACTATTTTTCAACACTACTCTGGCACGTTCCGCTGCATTATATAACTTCTCCCGGACTTGTCTCGCCAGATCTGTGTCCAAATCATTGTCGCCGATGACGAGATACGTCAGATCGATAGGGATCTCAACCTCACGTCCCAGCATTAACATATTCGGTGTCTCGCCCGTTGATTCCTGTGGGGAACATCTATAAGCAAAGGTTACATAAGGGAGCCATACATCCCAGTCTCTTTGTCTTTTAACCGGATCCAGCATTACAGCTACCATATTTAGTAGAGTCCGGTTAAAGCGCTCTACCATTCCATCGGATTTTGGATTGTAGGGGGTAGTTCGGGTCTTTCTGATACCAAGTAAAGCACACATTTCCGCCAACACCTGTGATTCAAAGTTGCGCCCCTGATCAGTATGAAGTTGCCGGGGTACACCAAAACGTAGTACAAAGTTGTCCACAAAGGTCTTAGCAACTGTGTTGGCTGTTTGATCCGGAATGGGGTAAGCCTCCATCCATTTACTTAAATAATCACCCACCACAAGAACGTATCTGTTTCCATCTTGGGCTTCAGGCAACGGCCCCAGTATGTCCATCGCCACTCGCTCCATAACCTGAGACACAGGCCAGTGCTGCAGTGGTGCCTTTCGCTTTCTAGGAGGACCCTTTCTCCTAGCGCAAAGATCACACCGCCTCAAACATGACCGGACTGGCAGGTACATTTTAGGCCAGTAATATCTCAGTTTCAGTTTAGTCAATGTCTTAAATTGTCCCAAATGGCCGCTTGTTCGGCCTCCATGCACTTCCTCAACTACTTCCTTTCTCATGGATGTGGGAACCACAAGTCGATAAGATTTCTCGTTGCCATCATCGGCCTCCCATCTTCGGTAGAGTATGCCTTCTCGTAATTGTTGTTCTCTTTGTGATCTAAGATCCAAGCAATCGAGACATCCTTTTTTTTGTTCCTCTCGCAAGTGTTCCCTTGAAACCTCAGGTTCAAGTTGCGTCAACCTAACTTGCGGCTGCTGTGGGAGGCCATCCAAGTTTTCTTTTTCTACGCGACCACACTGTTTGCAGGGTCAACGGGAGAGCCCGTCTGCATTGCCATGCTTCGAGCCAGGCCTGTGCTGCACTGTCAAGTTATACCCCGCCAATATCTCAAACCACCTGGCTAGTTGTCCTTCTGGATTTTTAAAGTTCATGAGCCACTTCAATGAAGCATAATCAGTCCGAACCGTAACTGGACGTCCGTATAGGTATTGCCGGAAATGTTTTAGGTAAACTACCACTGCAAGCAACTCCCGACGGGTTACACAATAATTCCTTTCAGCCCGAGCCAGTGTACGACTGGCGTAGCCAATTACCTTTTCCTGTCCATCTTGAATCTGAGACAAAACTCCCCCGATCCCTACATTGCTGGCATCGGTGTCAAGGATAAACTCTCCTTCTACCTCTGGGTATGAAAGTATTGGGGAGGATTGCAACCTGTCCTTCAGGGTTTGGAATGCTTGCTCCTGTTCCAGACCCCATTC